GCAGAGCCGAGACCGCGCCCCCTTGCTGAGGCTCCGCCTCTTCGCGGCCACGCCCCGTCGTGGACCCGCCCCCAGTCACGCCAGGCTTGAAGTCGGGCGGCAGGGCTGACCTGCCAGGGTCGCAGTTAGGGCCTTGTATTAAGGGCAGGCGCAGAAATGAAGGGCAACGGAGAGGGAGCAGTTTGGCAATGGAGAAGGGTGACTTAGGGGATGACCGGGGTGCTTGGCGTCATTTCCAAGAACCGCAGCAGGTCTGTGCCCTGCGTGGGGGCTCACCTGTGCCCAGGTGAGGCCGGCCCCCATGCACCTTCACTACCCACGCGGGAACACGTGGCCTTTCTCTTCCTTCTGTAAGGACTGTAGACCTCTCAGGTGGATGGGCATTGGCACCGGGGGCGGTGCCATCTGCTCTCTCCACGAGGAGTAGGTGTGCAGGGCCGGCCTGTGAGGCAGGTACTGGCAGGCAGAAAGCAGCAGGTTGTGGCAGGTCTTGGGGTGAGAAAAGATAGTAGGCAGAGGGGAGGGGGAAGAGGACAGCAGGGGGAATCAGGCCACAAAAGGGGTGACAAGGGCCCTGGAGCTGCCATGGGACATCAGCAATCAGAGCCAGGGCACACCACCCTGGTGTGGGAAAGTGGTGCCAAGCCGGACCCCAAGCTGCCCTCTGATGCCCAGGCCCACAGCAGTGTGTCCCTAGGTGCTCTGCCCAGGAGGAGGGGATTGAGACACGGGCTGAGCACTCCCAGGCCAGGCTGTGGCACCAGGCCTGAAGTGGGTTGAGGCTCCTTGACGGTGCACAGCCAGGTGCGGGCAGGAACGGAACTGCTGGGAGCGGCAGTGGAACTGACAGGGTGTGCACTACCCCGGGACTCGTATGTGCTTCTCTGGGCCATGTGTGCTAGAGCATGTGTTCACAGAAACAAAGCTCCGCACACCCATCTGTGGGTTTGGAGAGGGGACAACAGAAAGCTGGAGCACAACTGTGGCTAACAAGGTAGGTCTAAAGGTCAGTTCCTGGGCTGCCTTTGTGGACACTCAGCGTTCCTGGAGTCGAAAGGTGATGCTGGCTGAAGCTGCCCAGGTAGCATTTTGTGATGGAAACAGGAAGAGGGGAAGAGGGGAGGGCTTCTCTTCCAGCACATGCCACAGTTACCAGATTAAGATGGTTGCCTTGGTAACCTCCTCTCTGGGCAGGATTTGGGATTGTCAGGAAGGGTGAGGAATTGGGGAGTGTGGGGGGATTGGGAACTGGAAATAAAAGGGACTGAGACTTCTGGAAACTAAAAGCTTGGGGAACGGGACTCGAGCACCCCTCTAACTACTCAAGGATAGAAGGCAGTGACCAAGCTCCAGAGATGTCAGGAGGGGAGCCAGCAGTGCCCTGCACCCCGGAACCACATGGAAGCTTCCAGAAACGCTGATGCTAGGGCCACATGCCCGATGGGTGAGATGAGGCACTCAAGGCAGGCCTGAGGCGGAGGTGTTTTTGAACAGCACCCCAGGTGGCTAGAATGGCCTGGGTTGAACATCACTGCCTGAGGTGCAGCCCAAGCCATGTGGGCTGCAGATGCCGGGAGATTCCAAGTCCTTGCTGTTCGGAGTCTCCCCAAGATAGGAGGCCTGTGTGTCAGCCTGGAGGGCAAGGGTTGGCAGGGCACCTGTGGGCATATGGGGGAAATGAAAGGCAGGGTGGCAGGAATTACAACTGTGAGGCACCCGGGCTTTCGACAGGGGATTAGGCGGGGTTATCTGGGGCCCACCTGACTGCCCTTTCCTTCCCTTCTTACCTACCGAAAGGAAGGCTGGGAGGGCGGAGAACCTTTGCTGAGCCCGAGCTTCTCCTTGCTGAGGTGGTTGCCAGGGCAACAGAGAGAGCGATGGGATCTACTGCAGGACTGAGGGAGGATCTTTGCCAGTAACCCGCCCCAAGGCAGGCTGGCACTCCCAGCACGTCCCCAGGAGGCCAGTCTGCCATCACCCATCACCCTGCATGTGGGCAGGGAAGCAGGGATAGGACCGGAGCAACCCGAGGCGAGTCTGGGAGGTGTGCCCACCTGGCTCCAGCAGCTGCGGCACAGCACAGCAGGGTGTGTGGCCTCCACCCGGCGCTGGCACTTTAGGTGCCTCTGCCCCAGCCCTGTGTACAAGTGCGTGCTGCCAGCTCAGTAAACGCAGTTGCTCTCCCATACCGGGGAGCCTTTTCATAAACTTTCACTCTAGTCAGGACCTGGAGGAAAGTCCATTAAAAGCTGGGAGTTTTGGGCCGGGGATTTGGCTCAGTGGTGCTGCCACCTGCCTCGAAAGCACATGGGCCCGAGTTCAATCCCCAGTACCAAAAAAAAAAAAGGGCTTGGCACACCAAGGGCACACAAGCCCAGGGCAAAGGTGCCAGGAGCCACAGCCATCGGTGTCACCCATTCCCTTCCCCTCCCGCAGCGACTGCTAGGAGCTAGGAGGCTCACACCAGGGTCCCGACTTCAGTGCTAGCACCTTTCCTCCCAGGAAGATGGCGGCCCATGCCTCTCTCCAGGAGCGGCCATGGCAGTGCTGCCATTTGTCACACTTTGCCTGGAGAAACGTGGTTCTGAAGCACAAAGGCAGGTACGGGGTGGTCATGTTCCCGGGGCCAGGGGCACAGCACTTGCTGCTGTCTGCCGCAGCGTGGCCCGGGAGACCTGGTAGGCGTCTCCCCACCCCCGAGCTTCTGCGTCACAACTCTGAGCGACTTGGGGATCGGGAGCCCTCACCCTGCCCCAGAATCAAGACTCACACAAACACTGGCAAGGGAATGTTTAGTCTGAACTTTATTATCTCCAGGTCACAACGCCGATCACAAGTGTACACTGTAAAACAGTAGCAAAACAACACGCGAGGACAATCTCCGCAACTCAATACAGTGGACCAGGAGAGACAACTGTCACAGTGTCTTCGGGTCTGGGGTCGGGCAGCTGCCCACAGGCTTGCAGACATCTTCAGGTTTAAGGCAAAGGGAAGCTGACGAAAGGCACAAGCACCAGCCGCCCCGGAGAAGCCTTCCCGCTTTCCTCCTGGGGTCGCAGCCCAGCTGCCAGGGAAGGAGTGGGAACAGTGACAGTCCCACCACCTTCTCCCTCGGGCTGAGGAGGGACGGGGACGGGGTCAGGCTTCCCTGGCAGACATGCGCACTGCACTGACGAACACTACACGGGGGCCGCAGGGGAGCCCCGCTCAGGGGACGGCGGCTCCTCAGGCTGGAAGCCCAGGCGTGGTGCCTTCTGTTCACACGAACAGGAGATTCGGGGAAGGGAGAAACACTGACGAAACACTTGTAGCAGGATCGGTGCGGAGAGAGCGACTGCCCCGTGAGTCAGAATGCTTGCCGGCAGCACGTGCTGCTAGAGACGCACTGGTCCACTGTGACAGCGACAGGGAGGGTGCGGCAGGAGGGACGAGGGGCAGGCCCGACTCCACTTACCACAGACACCGTGCCCCAAGTGTGCACCGGGGCAGGCCCCGCCTTGCCCCCCACAGCAGCTCTGCCCTTGGCAGGGAGCCGAAGCCACCAGAGCCAGGCAGTGACAACTCCCCCACTCTGCACCCTCTCCGAGGTGGGCACTGTGGACAGCTTCCCCCCTCAGGGTAGAGGCTCAAGAGAATTCAAGTATAGAGCGACGGGGCTGCCCTCCTCGCACCGGGAGGACACACTCTCCGCTGGCTGTGATGCAGGGCCAGGCGACAGGAACCCGAGGGGCAGCAAGGCAGAAAGACGGACTCAGTTCAGTGAGAGAGACACTAGGAATATTAATTTAAGAGCAAGCCAGGCTTTTTCAAAAAATGAACATTTTAGAAAACAAAACCACCACAGGAAAGGACATCTCTAGGAGCCAGAGACCGTTGAATGTTGGGGAGAAGGTGATGTGCTCCACTCCCTCTGCGCAGAGCCGTCCTGGAGGGAGGGCCCCACTGTCTGGTGCCAAGGCTGCCCAGTCACTGGCCAGTCGGGTCTCTCTCCTCTCCCGAGATCACACCTCTGTGAGGGTTTGGGAAGGGAAAACCAGACAAGTGTCAGTAGGGGCCCCTGGCCCTACAACTGCCACACACTGGTTTGTTCACTTGTTTCTCTTGGTGCTGAGAACAAAGCCCAGGGCCTCAGGGAAGCCAAGCACAGGCTTTGCCTGCGAGCAGCACCTTCGGACCCTACAGAATATATTGTCATGACCTTAAAATAAAAGCAGAAAAAACAGAACCTCCAGGTCCTTTGTCCACGATCTTTACAATTGGCTTTTTTTTTTTTTTTGCTGTATCGCTTTAAAGTTACAATTCTCCTTTCTGTGGTCAAGCTGGCACTGCATTCCTGTATTCTTTTTCTCTTTCCCTTCTGTGTGTGTGCAGTAGGGGGACTAAACCTATAGCCCTCACAGGAGCTACATCCACAGCCCGTTTTTTGTACCAGGACAGGGTCTAGGTCACTAAATTGCCCAGCTTGGCCGGAACTTGTGACCTCCTGTGCCAGGATCACAGGCATGTGCCACCAGGCCTGGCTGCATTCCTGTATTTCCCCCTTGTAGCTCCCCACATGAAAGCATCAAACTGTCGAGTTAACAATACTCTCTACTTTAACTCTGTCCAATGCATTCATGAAATTAAGAAACTGGTAAATTCTGGGCCCCTTTTAAACCTCTCCTGGGATGTCATGTGGTTATCAAGTAAAGCAGTAGGCAGGCAATGTCATTTATTACGAACGAGCACTGAGCTGGGTATTTAGCTCAGTGGTTCTGCCACCTACTGCCTCACAAGCGAAAGGACTCAAGTTCAATCCCCAGTACCAAAATAAAAAAGAATGAGCAATGAGCATGCCTGTAATCCCTCACTCGGGAGGCTGAGTCAGGAGGACAGCCACAAGTTCAAGGGCAGTCTGGGATACATAGTGAGACCCTGTCTTGAAAAACAAATAAACAAACAAACAAAAAAACCCAAAAAAACCCTGACTATAAAAACAGTCACAGGGGCTGGGGATTTAGCTCAGAGATTCTGCTGCCTGCCTTGCAAGCACAAGGACCTGAGTTTGATCCCCATTATGAAAAAAACAAAAACAAAAACAAAAAAAAAAACAGTCACAGGAGGTTGGGCACTTACATTTTTAGGATGTTGGACTGGAAATATTCAGAATGTCACATTAACTGGAGCCCCTGCTCACCACCTGCAATAATCAAGTTGAAAACTGTTACCAGGTCACATGAAAGACTTTTCACAGAAACACACCCTGAGAAGCAGAGTCCTCTGGAGAAAGGAGCTCACGGTAGCCTATGCCTTCAGCGTGGGAAGGAGCCCATACCTCCGGTGGAGGGGGCTTGATGGAGACTGGCTGCGGCGTCCTCCGGGGTGGGGAGGGCTTCGGCTGAACCTGCTGCTGGGCGGGGTTATAGTAGGTCACTCCACCGTACACCTGTGACGGGGCCTGGGGCCCCACAAGCCAGAAGAGAAAATTAAGAATCCATCCAACCTATTAACAACAGAAAACACTATCCAGCTGTGAAAAGGAGTCTGGAGCCAGGTATGGTGGTGCACGACAGTCCCAGGACTCAGGAGGCTAAGGCAGGAAGGATGATTACGACTTCAAGGTCAGCCTGTACTATAATGATCTCACGCCCTCAAAAACAGGTTTGAAGCATTTCTTTTAAAGCTGTCCCCTCCAAATAAAAGTGAGTGTTCATTTCTGCCTTAGCGTGTCACTGTTACACTCCAGTTTCAAGTCTTCAAAGTACTGCTCAGATTCCTCTGATTCCTACCATCAGCAGAGAAAGGCTAAGTGCATGGTGACACCCAGATACACGCAGCGCCGACCCTCTGACAACAGAGCAGGACGGGGCAGGAGGAGCTGCATCCACATGCTGACCAACCACCAGGGCAACCGAGGAGAGCCAACAGCGAGGGGTGTTATGTAAGCTGCGCTTCCAGCTCCTGGCCACCGAGAGGCGTCCGGGCACCACAGGCAGCCAGTGGCCCTGAAATCCCTTTAGCACTGCCTGCCCCATTCCTGCCTCATTTAAAGGACGCACACCTGGAGGAACCTGCTTGTGGGCCATCTCACCTGTGTGTTAGGGTACAGATGTGGCGGTGGCGGGGGAGGCAGGGCCCCTGGAGCGTAAGGGTAGCTGGGATTCCCAAAGTTCATCACGCCTGGAGCAGAGAAGTAAGTAGGAGCAAGCAGCTGCTGGGGAGGAGGCTGTCCTGGAGACATGGACACTGGAGGCGGGTAGAGGCCTGGGTTGGGCAGAGGCGCTGGTGTCTGGTGGGGATGTAAACCTGGACAAAGAAAAGACAAAAACTGAAGAAGAGGACACCACCGTGTTCAAGGAGAGCCCTGGCTAGGCTGCTCGAGGAGGAAGTCTCAGATTGAAGCCAGGCACCAGGGTGGCAGTGAAGAGCTAGCACGCAGGCAGGAGCGCCACGCTTACCTGGGTGGGGAAGGTGCATTTCCGGCTGCACAATCATGCCCTGTGGAGTCAGTGGGGTGGGGGTGTCGCCGTGGGTATAGATTGGTCCCTGGAACTGCACTGTAAGATATTGTAGTGGGGCGTATATAAACCCTCTCTTCACAGCACATGGCCAAGTTGTCTTGTCCCTCAAACCCTTTGAAAGATGCTCTCTGCCAGCTCTGCGACAGGCTGAGGCGGGAGGACTGTCAAGCTGAGGCCAGCCTCGGCACCTCAGTGGGACCCTGCTTCCATGTGCAATTCTACAAATGGGGCTGTAGCTCAGTGGCAGAGCACCCCTCGGTTCCTGAGTTCTACCTCTTGTACTGCCAACAGGAAGTACACAGTGTTTGCTAAGGACGGGAGGGAGATGAACGGTGAGAGAGGCTGGCCTCTTTTGTGGCTTCAATCTGCCAAAACAGCACCAAGACACTACTCACGCGGGTCGTAGTAATGGCCCTCCATGATGCTGATGTGCACGGGAGGGGCGGGGGGCTCGGGCACAGGTCTCTGTCGCTGGGAGGAATAGCGCTTGGCGCGGCCACCCTGGACACCCTGCGACATAGGCAGACCTGAGTAAGACGACTTTAGGGGCTCTCAGTCAAGACCCGACTCTTCAGATGCTGCGAACACTCGGTACATGGCAAGTGTTTTCAGAAACATTTGCAACATGAACTAAAAAATCAATGAAAATCAGCAATACTTTGTTTTTGTTGTTGCTTGAGGCGGGCTCTCACTATTTAGTTCAGGCTGACCTTGAATTTGCTATGTAGCCCAGGCTGGCCTGGAAACTGCACTGGCATTATAGGTGTGCACCCACACACCAGGCTAAGCATCAACGCTTCACCCTAGGCCGGGGATTTAGCTCAGTGGTTCTGCTGCCTGCCTCACAAGCACCAGGTCCAGAGTTCGATCCCCGGTACCAAAAAAAAAGAAAAAAGAAACATTTAAAAACAATTTAAAATGAGAACCAAGACCTGTCATGTAAAGGTTCACGAACCCATTAATGAATGTAATTGTACTGTATACCTTAAACGTACCAATAAACTCAATAAAAGGAAAAAAAAAAATACAGGTATCTTATTAAAAACAAAACAAAAAACCAACACTTGACCCTAAACCTCACCCTGTATCTTGGATACCTGAATTAAGAGAGACACAGCAATCACCAGGAAAACTGGCATCAAGATCTTGCCTGGGTTTAAACAGGACACTGACAGGGCAGCCCTCCCCACCCCTTTCCCTTCGTACCATTTCTTCCATGCGGTTAAACTGGGGTGCAGGTCCCGCTCCCATGTGGATGTGGCTGGGCACACCTGTAATGCAAAGAAAGTCACCCCTGCAGACAGACGCAGGGCAGAGGGACTGGGGTGCATCCAGGAGATGAGTGAAGCTTGGAATGGCTTTCTTCCTTTACCTGCTGCGGTCAACACGGGCACTGGAAAACTGACTCCCACTGCCCACCACACAAGACAGCAAGAAAACCCTTCAACACGAACAAATGCCCGCTGAAGAGGCAACTTTTCCTACCCAACACTTTCCTGCAAGAAAGGAGCCCTGGGAAGTGAGAATCAGCACACTTCATCACCTACTTTTCTGTAAAATCTCAGCCCCAGAGTTGCCAAGCAACAGGTGCACAAGGAAGGATGCTCTAGAGAGCTACTGTACCCTGACCAGAGGTCTGGGCTAGAAGTCTGGGAGATCCTTCTGGGTGAAAATTTCTCAGGAAGCAAAGGAATGTTTTATTAGACTGTCCTCCGATGATGATAACATATCCTCATGGCGGTGCACATGTGTAATCACAGCACTCTGGGAGGATGAGGCAGGACTCCAAGTTTGAGCCCAGTCTGGGCAACTCAGTGAGACCATCTCAAAATAAAACATATATATCTTTTTTTTTTTTTGTAGTGGGGATCGAACTTGGAAACTTCTGCTTGCAAGGCAGGCCGAGGCACCACTGAGCTAAATTCCCGGCCCCTTTTATATTTTATTTTGAGGCCGGGGATTTAGCTCGGTGGTGCTACCACCTGTCTCAAAAGCACAAAATCCTGAGTTTGATCCCCAGTACCAATAAAATATAAATGCAGCCAGGTGTGGCAGCACACATCTGTAATCCCATCATTCAGGAGGTAGAGGCAGGTGGATCGCCCTGAGTTCAAGGCCAGCCTGGGCTACATAGTGAGTTGAAGACCAGCCTGAATTTCATAGTGAGAGCCTGTCTCAAAAGTAAATGCTGGGCGTGGTAGCGCACGCCTGTAATCCCAGCACTTGGGAGGCTGAGGCAGGATTGCTGTGAGTTTGAGACCAGCATGGGCTACATAGTGAGTTCCAGGTGGACCTCAATTACATAGTGAGACCCTGTCTCAGAAAAAGAAAAAAAAAATATATATACATACAGGTAAAAGGTACTACGTGCAATACCCAGTACCATAAAGGAAAAAAAAATCACCTAGAAGGACTTCTAATCTTAAAATTAGAGCTAATTTAAAAAACCAGGGAAAAGGACCCCTTGCTGTATCTGGATGGACCAAGACAAAGCTGAATGGGTAAAAGCGGCAGCAACAGGCAGGTCCTGCATGTCCAGCAGGACTCCCACCAGCCACACCCACGTGAGGCTATGTAACAGGAATTCCAACTCCTCCCTCTAGGCACATTTCAAAAACAGTATTCAAAAGCACTAGCATTACATGAAGTTCCACTAGGCAGTGTATCTTCAGAAGAGCAAAGGAATTAGAGGCTTCCTTCAGAGACAAAAGACCCATATCTAAATGAAGTCTCTGCCTTCAAACATTTTTACCTGTTCAATAAAAGAACACTGCTGCTTCCTCATATTTTGTAGGTGAACAGGAAAGGGTTGTGCTCAGCTCAGGCACAATCAGGTAACATGTGAAGCAGTAGGCGGGACAGCTGAGGCCACAGTGAGATGAGGCTCGGGGATGGGATAGTGGAGCTGTGAGCCCCCTCCCTTCTCTTGGTTAACACACACACCACACTCCTGAGACACCTTCTTCCGAGACCCTAAACCCAGTGGTGCCTACCCCGAAGCTCCCGTGGCTGCAGGAAGGAAGACTGTCCTGGACTCCAGTTCTGATCGGCCAGGCTCAGCTGTGCCACGTCCTGCTCCAGTCCACCTGTGGCTGGATCCACAGGGGACTCCCAACTCCCTGCCTTCGCTGACGGAGGCGGGGCAGCTTCCGGGCCCGGTGGGGCTGAGGTCAGGCCTTCGGGCAGAGGAGGCATCTCCTCCACGGCCTTGCCTGCATCTCCAGCCTTGGTTCGGGTTCTTCTGGCCCGGGAGTAGGACTTCTTCTCAACAGGCCGGTCAGGGGCTGGCGGTGCAGTTTCAGAGGCAGCAGCCGGTGTCTCGGAAGCCATCTCTTCCTTCTCAGGACTGCCAAGCACTGGAGCATCTGCTTCTGGGGACGGGTCCCTCACAGGCGCCTGCTTGAGGCGCCGTGAACGGTAGCCAGTCTCATGCCGAACAGTCTCACCAGACCGGCCATGTGGCCCTCCAGCCTCCACAGGCCGAAACCCAGCTCGACCTTCCTTGAAGCCTCCAGATCGGGGGTAATTCCTGGGTGTAGGCATGCGGCCAGTGCCTGCTGCATTCCTGTTAACAAATGTTCTCGGTGGTAGGGTGCCCCCAGGACCCTGATGACGATGGGGCTTGACTGGTCTCTCACCAGCCCAGTGTGGATCTCTATGTGGAGGACTCCCATATCTGAAAGAGTGGACAGAGAAACTGTTACCAATGAAACAGCAGGCGAGCATGATGGCACACACCTATAATCCTAGCACTCAGGAGGACGAGGCAGGAAGATCCTGAGTTCCAGGCCAGCCTTGACTACACAATGAGACCCTGCCTAAAATACAAACAAAAACAAAAGGGACCAATAAAGATATGGAGTTGGGGTGACATCTCATATTCTACCCGTTCATTCACTGACTACACAGATAGTTAGAAAGGCAAAGGAGTTTGTTCTAAAAACGTCATAATCAGGGACCAGGAATTTAGCTCAGTGGTTCTGCTGCCTGCCTCAAAAGCACAAGGACCCAAGTTGGAGCCCTGGTACCAAAGAAAACAACAACAACAAAACCACCCCATAATCTAGGCTCCCAGTTTCCTCACCGGGGCTTCCGGATTCTTCGGGGCTTGATGTCATCGGGGTTGTGAGCGGAGCGGATGTCATAGCCATACAGGGCGATGAGCTCCTGCCGGGACTTGGGGGCCTGCTCGTCTTCCCGGAACTTGTCATGCTCCCAGCGACCCTCATCTTTCCACAGCTTGCGCTGACGCCCTTTGGGTCTGGGCAGAAACCAAGGCAAACGCCCTGAGCCACTCCATCCCGTGCAACACCTCCTCTCCGCACCAGGGTAGCCCGTGCAGTGCCTCATGTCTCCGAGGTCCCGGAGGAATGAGGTGAAGCAACTGCCCCTGCTACACACAGCAGGTGCTCTTACCTGATTTCCTCCTCCTGCGTCTGCCCTCGGAGGTCGTGCTCGAAGAAGAGCCCCTTCCGGGGTATGTAGGCTGGGTTCTTCCGGTCCTCGTCATCGTCCAGGTGCTTGGGGCCCTTCTTCCCCACTTTGTTCTCCACGGGCTCTGTGCTCTCCTGAGGACACACGCAGTGCTCCTTACTTTGCAGCCTCCAGCCTGGCACCCCATCTGGCCCCGGGGAGGACTGCGCAAGGCCTGACCTGTCCATCTCCACTCTGCCGCTCTCCAGTCACAGTGCCTTTGCCATCAGTCTTTTCCTCTCCCTTCTCTTCTTTGGCTGAGGAGTCAGCAGCGTCACTAGCATCAGGTTTCAACTCCACTTTGGAGTTTTCCTCTTCACTATACTCTCCTTCTTCACCCTAGAAATGTTCCCGTCAGCCGGGAAACAGGATCTGAATAGGGTGGGATTCATAGTCCCTCTTTCTCGCTCTCACACACACACAGGTGGGGACAACTCAGTGCGGGACACAGTGGCGGCCTCATCTTTGTTGACACAGGCACTCTACTCCCTTTTGGCTAAAATTCTCTCTTACATATGCAGGGCCTAAAAACTGTAGCCTGATTTAAACTGAATCTACCCATCTCAAATGAATTAAATCCTCAATCTTTAGATTACAAATGCCCATCTAATCTAGGATCAAAAAGTTTTACAATAGCTCTGGGACTGAGAAAACATAATGAAGAGCCGGGCATGGTGGCGCACTCCTGTAATCCCAGCACTTGGGAGGCTGAGGCAGGAGGATCGCTGTGAGTTCAAGTCTAGCCTGGGCTACATAGTGAGTCCAGGTCAGTCTCAATTACACAGTGAGACCGTCTCAAAACAAAAAACAACATAATGAAGAACTGCTACCCACCCAGTGCCTTAGAGGAAAGTCACCTTTTATTAATGTGTGTATACATATATACATATGTAAGTGTGCGCATGATATTTTTTTTTCAAAATGCCTACCTGGAGGTAGGAGACACAGTTTACACATGTGCACAGAGCTGGTACACTCACAGACTTGTAACTGATTGCTCAAGGCACTGTTGCCCCTGAGGTGGAAAAAGTGACCTACACTTTTCTTTCAAACTTTTTTTTTTTTTTTAAAACAAGGTCTCACTATGTAGCCCAGGCTGGGCTCACTCACAGCGTTTCTCCTGCCTCAGCCCCCCAAGTGTGGGTCATAGACTTTGCATGTCCTGATCAGGTGAGTACTGCCCAGGATCTACATTCTGCCCTTCCTTCAGATGTACCTAGGTCTGCTCTCCTCACTCCTCTCTGCTCAGCACTGGGTGTCAAGGCAGGACTCCCAGAAAGGTGACAGAGCTGGATGAGACTGAGACTGTCTGATGACACCTCACTTCACCTACAGCATTTTTTTTTTTTTTTTTTGGTACCGGGGATTGAACTCAGGTCCTTGCGCTTGCAAGGGAGGCCACCGAACCGCTGAGCTAAATCCCCGGCCACCTACAGCTTTTAATGTCCAAACGCCCTTGGATTCTTCCCTTCTCCCTCAGTACATGAAGCTTCCCTCCTCTACAGGGTGGGTGGGTGGTAAGCTTGTGGGTCCCTGACCCTATGTCCCTGCTGGTCCAGAGAGAAAAATACAAGAGTCCTTGCCAGCATGATTAATGAGGGACTTTGTTTTGGTCTCCACCCATGCTGGACTGTGGTCCGTGTCAAACGAGGCAACTCTTCTCTTCCAGATGAGAAACTAATTTTGTTTCCAGGGCAGAACAGAGAGACAGCATCGTGCTGAGGAGAGTCCAGGCCTGGTCTAACTGCAGCCAACCTTACTACCATGGCCACACTGCCGTGCCCAGGGGACATCATCAAAATCCTTTTGCTGTTGTGCTTTTGTTTTTGTACTGGGGATCGAATCCTGGATCGTGTGCTTGCGAGGGAGGCAGAGGAACCAAACCCTAGCCCCTGATGCTGTGTCTTTGCGACAGGGTCTCACTATGCAGCCCAAGCTGGACTCAAATCTGCAATCCTGCCTCAGCCTCCCAGAGTGCTAGGATGATAAGGTGTGCCACTGCATCAGCTCTTACTAGCTCTACTCTGAAGCAATGCAAACCTCAAGATTTTCCATGCAGAGGATTCAGCTTCCCACACATTTCAGAGTAACAATGGGTGGGGGCCCTGCCCACTCTCAATGGCTCTTGCAGCTCAAACTCCTTGGGTTCACTTTATATATAAATGCACATAAAACACACAGTTTACATGTGTATAAACAGGCACACACACGCCATCTCACAATGCTCAGGCTGCCCCTGAACTCAAGTCACCTTCTTGCTGCAGCCTCCTGAGAATCTGGGACTACAGGTGTGTGCCACTGCACCAGCTTTTCAGCCTCACTTTATATTCCGGCTTCTTTGAGGCAGGCTCCTCCCATTCTGCCAAGGTCCTGAACACTTTCACAGGTCAGTCTTCACCTCTCTAGTAACTCACCCAAGACTACAATCCAAAGAAAACCTGTGCTACTTTCAAAGTCTTAAATTTAAATACCATTGTGCTTGATGAAAACTATCACATGCAAAACAAAAACAAAAACAAAAAAACCCTATCACATACAAAAGAATGAAATGAGGGCCAGAGATTTAGCTCAGTGGTGCCACCACCTGCCTTGCAAGTACAAAAAATACAAGGCCCTGAGTTTGATCCCTAGTACCAAAGGAAAAAAAAAAAGTGCCACCATACCTTAAGAGTAATTTCTCCAAGGAAGATATGCAAACCAAAAGAAGATGTAGTTTCATATGTACAAGAATAGCTAACAAATAAATAATCAATCAGGAGAAAGTGCTGCTGGGGAAGTCAAGAAATTAGAACCCTCGAGCTTACAGTTGGGAACAATACAAAATGTGGCAGAGCCACTCTGGAGGAGGCTGGCAGTTCCTCCATTGATTAAACCACCATCATCTGGCTCGGCAATTTCACTCTGAGGCACAGACCAGGGAAGTGACAACCCATGTCCACGAGACAGACTTGACACTCATGCTCACAGACCCCAAAGGGTGGAGACAACCTGAACACACCCACTGGAGGATAAAACTGTGGTCCACGCATGCAAAGGAGACCAAACAGCCCTCAAAACAGAAATCATGCGCCTGTGACAACAGGACACTATGGAAGTAGGATAAGCCAGACACAGAACACTGCATGATCCGACAGTGGGATCTGAAGACTTCAAATTCACGGAAAGGTGGCTGCTATGGACCACGAAGTAGGGGAAATGGGGATTATTTGGGTCAAGCAGTATCAAACTTCAGTTGGAAGTCTGGAAAACTTAATGAACATGGTTAACTGTTGTCTTACAGATGTAGTGAGGCATGGAGGCACACACCTCTAAATCCCAGCTCTCAGGGAGGTTGAAGCAGGAGGATCCTAAGTTTGCCTAGCCCGGACAACTTACTGACTTATCAAGATCCTGTCTCAAAATAAAAAATACACAATTAAAAAAATAAAAAAATAAAAAAAAAATAAAAAAAAAAAAATAAAAAATACAAAAATAGAGCTGGGGATATATCTCAGTGTGAAGGGCCTAGGCTGAATCCCCAATACCACAATAATATTAAAATTAAAATTAAATAAAAGGCCTAGGGATGTAGCTCAGTGTGAAAGCCCTGGGTTCAATCCCCATTATTGGGGGGACGACACCGAATCGATATATGCTAACACTTGATTGAAAACATGGTAAATCAAAGAAGCCAGCCACGAATATGCAAATACTTTATGATTCCATTCATATAAAAAATGATTCATGCCGGGTGTGGTGGCCCACGCCTGTAATCCCAGCACTCAGGAGGCTGAGGCAGGAGGATCGCTGTGAGTGCTAGACCAGCTGGGCTACATAGTGAGTTCCAGGTCAGTCTCCACTACATAGTGAGACCCTGCCTCAAAAAAACAAAACAAACAAAACAATGATTCATACAGGAAAATCTACAGAGACAAAAAGTACACATGTGATAGAGGAAGGGGACAGGGGAAGAGAATAGCTGGCAGCTAAAGGGCACAGGAATTATTTCAAGTGATAAAAACGTTCCAAAATTCACTATGGTAACGATTGCAATTACCTGTGAATTCACCAAAAGTCATGAAATTTTGCACATTAAGATGTGCATGGTGGTGCACACCTGTAATCTCAGCAGTTGGGAGGCTGAGGCAGGAGAATCACCTTGTGTCTGAGGCCAGCCTGGGCTACACACTGAGTTTAAGGCCAGCCTAAAGAACACAGCAAGACCTTGTTTCAAAAGCCAAAAAGAAGGGCTGGGAATTTAGCGAGGTGGTGCCACGCCTGCCTGGCAAGTGTAAGGTCCTGAGTTTAATTGCCAGTACCAAGAAAAAACACGAACAAAAAAACAAGCCAAAAACAGCCAGGTGTGGTGGCACACCCCCCTAATACCAGCACTCAGGAGGCTGAGGCAGGAGGATTGCTCCAAGTTCAAGGCCAGCCTGGGCTACACAGTGAGTTCAAGACCAGCCAGAATTACACAGCAAGACTATCTCAAAACACACACACACACACACACACACACACACACACACACACACACACACCCCAAGTGAAAAAAAAAATCCCCTAAACCCAAAGATGTAAGTGCATATGAACAAAGCACCAACTGCCACACCCTTCATAGTATTAGGTGCAGGTGAAAGCAGAGAGGAAACAAATGGTGGGAAATACCAGAAAGCTTGGAACAATCAACAGGCAGCCAATGGAGAACAGCAGGCCAAAAAGGACAGGGGGGAACAGAAGTGCTTCCCTGCAAGTGGGAAAGGAACTGTGGTTAAGAATGGTTAAAGCAAGCTGGGCATGGTGGCGCACACCTGTGATCCCAGCACTCAGGTGGCTGAGGCAGGATCACCTGGAGCTCAAGGCCAGCCTGGGCTACATAGTGAGTTCCAGGCCAGTCTGAGCTATATAGCAAGACCTCATTACAAAAAAAAAAAAAAAAAAAAAAAAAAAACCAAAAAAAAAAAAAAACAAAAGGCAA